TCGCCTCCCGCGGCGTCGCCGCTCCTTCCTCTTCCACCGGCTCCGCCGCTGGGCCCCTCTACCTCCTCCCGGCAGCCGGCGCGGGCGAAGGCGGGGGGTCGCGGAGCTCGGGCGCCTCCTCCCGGCAGCCGGCGCGGGCGAGGGCGAAGGCGCCAACGTCGCCATTGCCTGCAACTCCGGGCCACTCCGAAGGGCGCGCCGCGCCTGGGCCAGGCTGTCGCGGCCGTGGACCTCGCCCTCCTTCTCGCAGCGCCCTCTTCGCCCTGGGTCCGCCGCTCGGCCTCGGCAGTCTCGGCGCGCAGCTCGGTGACCTCGCGGACCTCTGTCTGGACCGCGTCTGCCTGCGCCGGGATGAGGCCGCGGGCGTGGCCCTCGCTCGGGCTGGAGTCCTCGCCGGGCGGCTCCGCGTCGCGATCGTGCTCGGCCGCGGCCTCGCCCTGGGCCTCTGCGAGCGCATGGCCCTCTACCTCCTGCCGTTCCTCGGCGGCCTCGGCGATCTGTCCGACCCTTCTAGCGGTCGCCTTCTCCCCCTCCCTTGACTGGACAGCCTTTCGCAGACCTGCGCGCATAGGGCCCATGCTCCGCGACGGTTTGCAATCTCGGCCATGATCGAGCCTCTGCATGTGCAGTCGCAACCTCCTCTCGTCGCCGCCCTTGCGCTTCCCCCACTCGGCGACGAAGAGCGCGGGTTGCAGGTCCCTGGACTATATATCAGCAGCGCTCGTGGATGCGAGCCTGCTGGCCGGCCTTGGCCGCGAGCCGGGCCTGGCTGGCCTCTTCCCTGAGCTGCTCGGCGACTTCCTGCGCCTGGTCGCGCTGGCCCGCGGCGACGTGCTCGGCCGCTGACGCCCTGGCCGTCTCCTCGGTGAAGTGCAGAGCCAACTTGCGCGCGTTGTTCCGCCCCCTGGATTGGTCGATCTGCGCCGCGGCAGTGCGGGCCTGGACTTCGCGCGGCCATCCCTTCGCCTCGGCCCCATAATCCCAATATTCGCGGTGGAAACAAATGTGCCCCATGACCTGCTTTGCCCGCGACGTCGCACATGTCGGGCAGGGCCTCGCCCCGAGCGCGCCGCGACGCCGCTTCCCGCTGGTGCGCCGCCGCAGTCTCAGCACGGACGGCCTCGCCGTTGGCGCGCGAGTGGATCGCCGGCTCGAGCCCCGTCGCCCCCATCGCGATGGCCGCGGCTCTCGCCGCAGCGTTGGACTCGGATGCCTCGAGCGCCCGAATCTCCCCAAGGACTTCTCGCTGCTTCTTGATGGCCTCGGCGAAATGCTCGCCCTGCCCGCCGAGTTCGATTTGATGATTGGGCCGAGCAGATGAGGCGCCAGGCCCGGTGAACACGGCGTTTCGGGCATGCGACAGCTGCCGGGCCGGCAGATTCTCTGGATCTGCGCATTGTGCTTCGTGGCCCCCCCGCGCTCTCCAGCGAGGATGTCACGTCGCGATCCCCTTGCGGCCTCTCCCTCGACTTCGCCCATCTGGCATCTGAATCGCGCAGCTGCCTCTGCCTCGCGCTGCCTCTGCCGGGCGGCCCCCTGGGCAGCGATCCCCCCAGAAATGCCGCCCTGCACTTGGCGGCCTGCTCCCGGCGCCAGGCATCTTGAGCAGCCCAGCGGGCAGTCTGCTCGGCGAGCTACCGATTTTGTCGCGGCGCTGCTGGGCTGGCCCCTAATGCGTCTGTGTGATGTGGTTTCCGCTGAGTATTCTCGTTGGGTGGAGAGCTAAAGGTGAAATCCACGCGGGTCTCTGCACCTTGAGAATCAATCCGCCTGGCGGCTGGGCGGCGTTCAGGGTGAAGTTTGCGTCGCGTAGCGGCATGTGCGCATGCGGCGCCTGGCTTCTGCTGCGACGTCGCGATGGCGCCGGCGCGTGGCCGGGCGACGTCGATGGCTCGCACCCTGCAATCTTTCAAACGAGGCTTTGCCGCCCCGCCGGTGTCGCCAGCGCATTGTTCGCGCCTCGACGAATCCACGATCGGCGCATCTGCGATTCGCAGGTGGGCGCAAACTCTCGTGACATGCCATTGAATGTTTCTCCCTCCGCTGCCAGCGCCCAGTGCCTAATTGGCCATGAGGTTCGCCGTTGCTCGGTTGGCTCGCTGGTTGGTTGCATGGCGGATTGACTGGGCGGTTGGATGGGCGGCCGGTCGGGTGGCTGGCTGATTCTCTGGGCCCCCGATCGTGCAACTGGCGCCAGACAGGCGAAGGGTCGCGCGACTGGCGCGCGGCAGGTGCGCGAGCGCGCGACCGGCGCCCGACGGGCGAACGAGCGCGCGGCTGGCGCCTGCGAAATCAATCGAGACGTCCAGAATCCACTTCGTCGTTCTAGAACTGCGCTGGCCGCTCAAGCACTTGCGTTTGCTTGCGCTTCGCACGATGTGAGATTATGGAACTTTTTGGTTGCTATAGATTCGGTCTGCGATTCTAGACATCGTTTTGCATGTTCTCTAGATGCGTTTTGCTTTTCTAGAACTGCCTCCGGCCGTTTGGCGGGAAACGCATGGGGAAAACGGCGGGCGTCGGTATTCGGGGCCCATCGCTGGGCGGCGGCGGCGGCCCCGATGGGGCCCCGAACAGGCCTCGGAAGAAAATGAACATGCACGCGCGCGCGCGGGGCCGCCGCGCCCCGGCATGGCGGCGTGGGGGGCAGGGGCAAGGCGCGAGACAGGGCGAATCACATTTAGGTGCCGGCGACGGCGCGGGCGCGGTCAAGGGCGGAGCGCGCGCGGGCCCCAGATGGAGGAGTAGAAGGGGGGGGAACATGAGCCCTGGAGGAGGAGGCGCAGGAGGAGGCGGAGGCAATGAGGGGGGGAGAAGCGGGGGTGCATGTGGCGGGGGAAGAGAGGGGGGGGAGACGGGGGCGGAAGTTGACGGGTGGCAATGTGTCAGGCGAAACGGCATTTCAGATTTGACCCTTTGCCCTCTACCCGCAGAGAATGCACGGTTTACGGCGGCCGCCCCGGCCAATGCCGAGCGCTCCCTGGCGCCCGATTCCGCCTCGAGTTTCTCCCCGCGATGCTCTCGGGCCTCGGCCTGCTGGGCCCAGTCCCGCGATGGTGACGAGCGCGCCGGGCTCTCAGGCTGGGCCGCGCCGGGGAAATTCGCGCCCGGGGCGTTGAGGGCCGCTCCGACAGCCCCCATTCTAGGGCTTCGTCGCGTCGAGCAGCTCGCCGCGGTCCATCTCGAGCATCGCGCCGGTAAGCTGCGACGCCCTGTCTGGGCGCCGCTTGGCACCCGTCGGGGACGGCCCCATCGCCGATCACGCGCTTCATCTCGGATGGTGGTGCCGCTGCCGGCGCGGCGCGCGACGGGGGCCGAGGGCGCGCCTCGACGACGAGGCTTGGCCCCGCGATAGGCGCCGCCCCAAAACACTGCCCGCTGCCCGCTGGCGCGTGGGTTCTCGCCTGGGTAGCCTCCTCCTGCGCGGCGTCCCAGCTGGCTGCCGCGCGCGCTCCGACGCCCTGATTTGTTGGGGCGTCCGCCTCCGAGGCATCGTCGTCGCCGAACAGGCCCTCCTCGTCCATGGTCACGTTGACATACTACATGGTAATCGCGAACTTCGCGCGCTCAACTTGCCGCTTTTCGATGTCCGCTCCGTCCTTTTCGGCCCTTTCGCTGGCAGCCGCGATCCCGGCGAATTCACCTCGCCGAACTGCCGCATCGTCGGGCACGACGCCAAGATCACGTGTTTGATGGCCCAATATCTCGTCGATGGTCTCAGCCGACTCGTGGTCCACAGCCCTGTCCGCCAGCAGCCCGGCGCCGAGACGGTGGATCTTCTCCGCGCACTTCGCCCTGAACGCCTTGGCCTCGCGGGGGGCCTCGGTAGGCGGAGCCTCGTAGCGGGGATGGGCGACTGCCATGTCTGGGTTGGCCTGCTGGGTGTTCTCGATGATGTGGGCAACTTTCGGATCGATCCGAGCTTTGGCCTGGCACCTTTCCGTCTTCTTGCTTGTCTCTTTCTTGGGCTGCTGTCGGTGCCGTTCACTTCTGCCCGTCCCAGCACTTCCACGCATGTCTACCATCACGTCCGCACTGCCACCGATCATTTGCCCACGGCGGCAAGCTTCCCGAACCCGCTGTCGCACTTGTTGCCTGGCCGTTGGGCGCCATGGCTGCCGTCGGCTGGGCGCCGTGGTGTTCCTCGAGCAGCCTCGCCGCGCTCACCACGCGGAGCAGTGCCGTCGCCTGAGCGCGGTTCTACCCCCCTGCGCCTGTGCCAGGCCTGTTCGCGCATGGCGCGCGTGGATCCATGGGGGGGGCACCTCCCCGCGGGCGGCGGTGGAAGGGCGGCGGCGACCTCTTTGCATGTCGCGGGACGACGGGGGGTGGCGAAGGATGGTGCCCCGCCGCCCCGCGTCAGCAGCAGCAGCCCCGCGGGCGGCTGCGGGGGGCCCGATGGGGTGCCGCCGTCGGGCGCGGAGTGCGGCCGCAGCGGCGCCTCGGCGGGCGGCCCGCAGCGCCGTGGGACCTCCGGCCGTGCGGGGTTGACCGGGACGCGGTGGCGACGGCGACGACTCCTTCTTGCAGGCATCGTTGGCCAGATGCTTTGCCTCCGTCCCTACCCTTCCTCCCTCCTCCCCCCTCCATCCTTCCTTCCCCTCTCCTCCCTCCTTCCTCTGCCCAAGACACCGAAGCATGGATGGCGTTTGGGCATCATTACACCGACATCTCACCAGCAAACACCCAGGATCAATGCCCAGAAAGTATATGTCCAACGAAAGTCGAGACGACGCGCCCAACTAGCGCCGAAACCGACACCAATGGCTTCCTTATCCTCCTCCTCTCCTCTGAAACTTTTGTGCGTCTCGCATTGCACGCAACGAGGCAGGCGGCAAGCCACTGCCTCACCCACCTGGTCTGCGCTGGGCCCTGACGCTGTCCGCGACGGTGGTCGCAATGTATCGCGCCGCACCGCTGCTGCTCCTGAAGCACCTCGTCCTGCTCCTCCGCCCCCTCGTCCTGCCCATCCGCCGACGAAGAGGGGGCGGCCCCGTGGCCTCGAGACCCTTGGCCTCCGTCACCAGGTTGCCGCCCACGTCGAGAATGGTCAGCCTCGGCAGCTGCTGGACCTCCGGGAGGCCGAGGGCCGGGCTGTCCCACCTCCTCCCCCTCGCCCCACCCTCCTGGGAACGGGACGAAGAGGGGGGGGGTAGGAGGAGGGAAGAGGAATGATGTGGGAGGGAGGGAGGGGAGGAAGGGGAGGAGGGGGAGGAAGCGAGGGAAGGACGACGAGAGGAGGAGGATTTGGGAGGTGTCCGTCCCGTTGTGGGCCTCTTCGTGCGGCTGGATACCCTTCGAAATCCTGGTCCGAACTGGATCGAGATAAGGTGCCTGGGCCGATGTCTGAAGGAAGAGAAGGTGGGTGATGATGGCGATGGTGCTGATGATGATGATGAAGAAGAAAAAGATGATGATGATGATGATGATGATGATGATGATGATGATGATGATGATGATGATGATGATGATGATGGTGGTGATGATGATGATGATGATGATGATGATGATGATGCTGATGCTGATGCTGATGCTGATGCTGATGCTGATGATGATGACGATGACGATGCTGATGCTGATGCTGATGCTGATGCTGATGCTGATGCTGATGCTGATGCTGATGATGATGACGATGATGATGATGATGATGATGATGATGATGATGATGATGATGATGATGATGAGGCTGCTGCTGATGATGATGATGAGGATGATGAGGAGGGGCAGGAGGAGGAGGAGAGAGAAGAGAGGAGAGAGAGGAGAGAAGAGAGGAGAGTGGGGAGAGGAAGAAGAAGAGGAGGAGGAGAAGGAGAAGGAAGAGGAGGACCAGAATAAAGCCAACATGTATCATTGAGCCTGTGATGAATCGCGCTGTCCCAACATCGCCTCCCGAAAATGCTTACAGGCCCTCCTTCTCACTCCGGGAAGCGCCTCCTTGAAGGACGAGTGCACCATGCGTGTGCCTGTCCTTCGAACAGTGCCCCCGTGTTGAGAAAGAACTGGCCCGTGCCCTTCTAGTTCTATCGAGGAAAGGAGGCGGAGGAGGAGGAGGAGGAGGAGGGCGAGAAGGAGGAGAAGGATGAGAAGGAGGAGAGGAGAGAGGAAGAAGAAGCAGAGAGAGGATAGAGGAAAGAGGAGACTTGGGAAGGTGATCTTTAATTTCGGAGAATCCGACCAAGCCTGGACTTACTATTCGAATAATGGGTCCAACAAGACAACACATGTGACAACGGACCGCACTGCATCCATGCAACTGTCCGCTGCGAGATCGTAAGATTTCAAGGAACATCCCACGACATCCAACTTGTGAACATGAATTGGAATCCGTCCGTGAACCTGCTGGACAAACTTATACTTCTGTAAGAACGAGTTCGAAGTCTCCAACGTGAGATTATTTGGGACAAGCAAACGCCTTCTATCAGTGCGCGCGCCGTTAGGGCGAAACCTCAATTTTAAACACAACTGCCCTCCCATCCTTGCTACTGCGGGGGCGCTAAAAGACGAACGTGCACGGCCCAAAAGCGATACCAATACTTTGAAACCGACCCACCTCTCATCTCTGTAACAATGTTTGAATGCAACTGCCCACAGCGCTGAAGCGCACACCGCATTTGAAAACCACCACCCCACCATCCTCTCGCCATCGCTCGGACGTCCATTCCCTGTGTTTTTTTTCGGTTTCGTGAGTGTTTTTTTCGCCAAATGATCAAGGGTACTCCTCGATGGTCCTCGCCGAAGGAAAAATGCACACGTCCGAGCGATACCAAGGGGATGCGAGGAGGAACGAATGAATGAAACCAATCTCGAAGCGAATGCCGATTGAACTACGGACCCCGACGAAGCGAGCTCAGCCGAACTGGGTGCGGAGGACGCATGTGGGCACTGCCACTGGAGCCTCGGTTGGGGTTCCCCATGGGACCACGAAGGGCGCATGCGAACACCGCCACTGGGACCTTCGGTGGAACTCCCTATGGGGCCACGAAGTGTAAGGGTTGTGTCAAAGTGGGCGGGGGGGACGCATGACACCACCACCACTGGGGCCTTCGGTGCACCTCCCGATGTTGCCACGAAACATGTGAGGGCGTACCGAGCTTCGTGGGGGTTGCATGTGAACTCCGCCACTGGGGCCTTCGGAGGAGCCCCCGATGGGGCCATGAGCCGAACGAAGGGTGTGCAGAAATGGTCGCAGGGGGCGCATGCGAACATCGCCACTGGAGCCGTCGGTGGAGCTCCCCATGGGACCACGGAGCGTGTGAGGGTGTGCCCAAATGCGGGGGGGTGGGGGGGGGCGCATGCGGCATCGCTACTGGAGCCTTCGGCGTAGCCCCCTATGGAGCCACGCAGGGTGTAAGAAATATGTCGAAATGGGCGCGGGGACGCATGTGGACACTGCCACTGGGGCCGCGACGCGTGTGGCCACGGAGCGTGTGAGGGATGTAACGAAATGGGCGCGGGGGGCGCATGTAAGCAGTGCCACGGGAACCTTCGGTGGGTCTCCCTATGAAGCCACTAAGCAAGTGAAACATATGCCGTAATGTACATGCGGAAGGCAGAGGCACGGATGGGAGGAGGGAGGATGGGAAGCAAAAAGCAGAAATGGTTGACGCGGGCACTGTCCTTTCAAAACGGGACCCCACACCGCAAAATGACTGGGAAATCCGCGACCGTTTCCCCTGGCATGTTGAGGCGTGGAAGAATGCCACGGACTGCCAGAGGCCTCCTAGATGGGGTCGGAGTAGAGTAGATGGGGTCGGAGGGTCGCGCCGCATCGCCAATACATCGGCGATGCATCGGCGATGCATCAACGATGCATCAACGATGCATCCGCGATGCGCCGACGATGCAACGTCGACGTCGGCGATGCATCGGCGACGCCGACGTGCAGCAACTCGGGCTGCACATCGAGCCGCATCGGCGATGCATCGGCGATGCGGCGCGATCCTCCGACCCCGTCCACTCGGAGCCAATCTTCGGGAGCGGCCAAGAGGGGGGCGTCCAAGAGGGGGGGGTGCAAATCATGACCGGCGGCATGTGCGCGGCCCAGCGGGGGGGCCAGGGACGTAATGAAATGAGAAGAGGCGCCATGAAATCTGGGGAAATATCATGGCCCCCGCCATGATATCCACCCCCCCCTCGTCATCACCCCCCTCTTTTCCGCCCCCGACATCCGGGAGGCCCAGGGCTGCCTGGTGAGGCTTCTGCGGTCGAGTCAGTGGCCCCCTCCCCCTGCCAGCAGAGAGCTGCGCGCAGCACGCATCCCCCCGCCCTGCCGAGGCCGCGACCCCTGGTGCAGAAACCGTGGGGCCGCGCTCCCGAGGCCACGGCCCCTCCGAGGGCTGGACCTAGACCGTGCTTTTTTGTCTTCGTTTTGGCTTCGTTGGTCCTCGTTGTGTCTTGGGATTCGCCTCTGCTGCAAGACGACATCGGATCGAAGACGGCCCACGAAATCGCCAGAGCACCGTTTAGGTCCACCCCTGGTGGTCCCTCCTGCAAATGGATAGATGCGCGTCTTGGGTCTCCAAGACGGCCCGTGCAAGCAACCAAAGGCACCGCTATCGCGTAAGATGCGAAGACTGCCCAGTATGGTTCCAAGACGGCCCGGGATGCCTCCCAGAATCATTGATTCCCCTTTGGTGTTCAACTGGTTTGCGCATTCTCGCCGTGTCGGACTGCCTCCTGCTCGAGGCGGCCCGACACGCTTCTACGATGACCTTAAAACAGCCAAAGAGGCCCTCAAGCGGCCAAGACTCCCTCGCACGAGGACATCACATCATCGCAATCAACATCAGCATCATCATCAGCATCGCCATCACCATCACCATCATCAGCACCATCACCATCATCATCATCCACATAATCACAACCATCATCACCATCATCATCATCGTCATCATCACCATTATCATCATCATCATCATCATCATCATCATCATCATCATCATCATCATCATCATCATCATCATCATCATCATCATAATCAGCTTCATCATCAGCACCCGCATCAGTATCGTCATGATCATCAGTGTCTTCAGAAGCATTATCATCAGCAAAATCATCAGCGGCATCAGCATCGGCACCATCACCATCAGCACGAGCATCAACATAGGCACCAGCATCATCGTCATTATCATTCAACAACAGCAGCATCAGCATCAGAAGCATCGTCCTCCCCATCAATATCAGAAGTGTCCTCATCATCAACATCATCACCATCATCATCACCATCATCAGCATCAACATCAGCATCAGCATCAGCATCATCATCACCATCACCAGCACCATCACCATCACCATCAACATCACCATCATCATCATCATCATCATCATCATCATCATCATCATCATCAACATCATCATCCTCATCCTCATCCTCATCCTCATCCTCATCCTCATCCTCATCATTATTCTAGGGCGGCCGTTCTGGGACGGCTCTCGGTGAGGCGCAGCTGCTGAAACGCAACCCGAAGCAGGCACAACCCTGCTGGAATAGCCGGCAACGCCCGAACACCCCGCGACATTCGTCGATCCCCCCGGGGGCTCAACCCCGCCCCCACACTCTGGATGGCATAACAGTCGCACCCCCCTTGGGCTGGGGGAGTGGACGGGCGCGCGCCGTCGGGAGGGGACTGAGATTGAGGGGAGGGGGGGGGCAGTCTGAAGCTCAAGTGTCAAGTTGGGCGTGTCCCCCCACAGAGGGATTTTGGACGAACAATAAACATACTCAAACAGTACTCCAAAAAGGTTCGAACATGCTCAAAATTCCGCCCCAGGCTATTTTTTTTGTATTTTTGCATATTCCCCCCGTAGAGGGACAGGCCCGACTTAACTCAAGTTTCTAGGCCAGGGGGAGGGAGTTCGCCGAACGGCGAGGGGGCTCGCGGGCGCGGAGGTGGGGCCGGGGCTCGCGGGGGGAGAGTCGTGGGAGACCATGTCGGGGAGGGTGCGGGCGCGTGCGAGAATTTCGGCCGCACGCTCCGTCGAAGACCAGTCGCCTCCCACGACTGGTATGCCATCCAGAATTCGCTGGCCCAACGGGCCAGAGGCGTGCTAAGATCTCTGGTAACTGCCTTACAGTAGTTCGACTCCGCGCGCGCGGGGCGGCCCCTGGGGGTCCCCGGACGAACAGTACCCCGGGCAGGTTCCGGGAGACTCGGGTCAGAGATGGTTTTCCTTCTGGGCGCCGCCCTCGAGGCCGTCCAGAGAGCCCCAAGAAAGACCAAGAGAGCGCCAAGAGCCCCTCAAGATGATGTAAGAGAGCTCCGAGATGCCACAAGATCGCTCCAAGACGCCCAAGATGGCCCCCAGAAGGCCCAAGAGGCCTCCAAGAGCACTCTCAAGAGGGCCCCAAGAGGCAAAAATCATTGCTTATTTAGGTTTTGGGGCGATGTTGGCGTTTCCACCTTTTCGGGCCCAAGAGGCCCTCAAGACCGCCCCAAAAGGGCTGGCCCAAGAGGCCCGCAAGAGGGCCCCAGGACGGCCCAAGAGGGCTCCAAGACGGCCTCCAAGACGGCCCAAGAAGGCCCCAAGAACGCCCCAAGAGAGATCCTAGGGGGGGAACACGAAACAACATTTCGAGCCCTCGGCCCTAAGAAGCCCCCAGGAGTCCCCGAGAGGCCCATCAGAGGCTCCAAGAGGCCCCCAACCGGCCTTCAGGAGGCCCCCAAGAGGCCCCCAAGCGGCCCCCAAGCGGCCCCAGGAGGCCCCCCAAAAGCCCCCCCGAGCACGCAAGCAAGTGCCAGCGACCCGACGCGTTTAGGAGTCCCTAAGAGGCCTCCAAGAGGCATTCCGAAAGAGTCCCCACAGGCAAAACGCTTCCAGACGGCCCGCGACGCGTTCAAGACTCCCCCAGCGGCCACCAAGAAGCCTCAAATGCCGAACGCAAAGCCTGATAAAAACAGCCGCCGCCCCTGCAGCTCCGCACCGCGAAAGACCACTCGGTCAGTCGACAACAGCGCACAATCTGGGCCGGCGGCATGAGCGAGCGAAACGATTCAATAATGTTGCCCCTGATTTTGGACGCCCGCAATGGGTATGGGAAGAAAACGGGTACACTGCCCAACAACATCTGTTGTCCAAACCGACAGCGGCCGCTGTTAGGCAGGCGGCTCTTTGTCTTTAGCTATCGACGTCCGCGGCGGTGCGAACAGCGATTCCTGGTCAAAATGGGCAAGATCTGAGGTCGGTCTTTGTACCCGTTCTTCCCGTACCCGTCTTCGGGGGCTGCTACAGGGTGCCCCCTGCCCAAGGTGGCCCCAGCTTCTCGTTCAGTTGTGGAGCACCTGGGGCCCCCTGGGCCTCGTGAGGGGTGCTCCGGAGGCAGAGGGGGCCTCCTCGGAAATCCTAGGGTTAAGTCGGGCCTGTCCCTCTACAGGGGGATTATCGACGAAACATCAAAAATACCCCAAACATACCCCAAGAGGTCCAAAAATACTTTAAACATAGTCCCCATACTATGTTTTGATTATTGTTTATATTATGCTTGGGGTACTTCGTATTTTTCGTCGAAAATCCCCCTGTAGGGGGACAGGCCCGACTTAATCCTAGGGGCACCTTGGTCCAGGGGCACTTCTAGCAACACCCGATACTCCGATCGTCCCGACCGATCCCCTCGAGACCCGCAGGCAGAGGAAGGCCCGTAGCTCCCAGCCCACCCTGTGAGACGAAGCAAGGGCGAGAACAACATCGGTTGAGGATACATCTAAGTCGGGCCTATCCCCCTACAGGGGGATGTTCGACGAAAACATATCCCAGTGCGACCCTACCTAGGAGTTGGAGCATCTAGGAAAACAACATCTACATATACACCGAAAGCTACATTAACATCTACACCTGCATCTACAGCTGCAACAACATCAACGGCGAGACTCACATCTACATCTACATCTACATCAACACCTACATCTACACCTAAACGTACATCTATATCTACATCTACACCTACATCCACATCTACACCTACACCTACATCTACATCTACATCTACACTTTCGCATTGGTTTTGCTTTTGCTGTGCATTGCCTTGCCTTCGCTTTTGTTCCCTACCTAGGCTCTGCCTAGAAGGGTTCTTACTCTGTTAGCTTAAAGGGGCCGGGCAGTGCAACACGCCCAAAGCGGTTCCCCCAGTCCCCGCCCCGCGGTTCCCCCAGTTGCGCCCCCTGGATTCACCCAGCTAAGCTAAGCTAAGCTAAGCTTAGCTTATATTAGCTTACTTAGCTTAGCTTAGCTTATCTCATCTTAGCTTAGCTTGGCTTGGCGTGGCTTAGCTTAGCTAGCTTAGCTTAGCCTAGCCCAGCTTATCTTAGCTTAGCTTAGCTTAGCTTAGCTTATCCTAACTTAGCTTAGCGCAGCGCAGCATAGCGCAGCGCACCATTAGCACAGCACATCATAGCATAACCTAACCAAACACAGCGTAGCATAGCACATCATAGCATAGCACAGCATAGCTCAGCATATCATAGCATATCATAGCATACCATAGCATAACATAGCATAACATTGCTTAGCATAGCACAGCGCAACATAGCCCAGCATAGCACAGCATAGCATAGCACAGCATAGTAAAGCATAGCGCAGTATAGCATAGCATGCCGCGCAGCATAGCATATCATCGCATAGCCTAGCATAGCATAGCATAGCAGAGCAGAGCATAGCATAGCACAGCATAGCATAGCATACCGCAGCATAGCGTAGCATAGCATAGCCTAGCATAACACAGCGCAGCCGAGCGTACCCTAGATGTTAATGTAGCTGTAGGTGTAGATATAGATGTGGATGTCCTAGATGCTCCAACTCCTAGGTAGGGTCGCACTGGGATATTTGTTGTTGTTGCTGTTGGTGTTGCATTGCTTTTGTTGTCTGCTTTTGATATGCTATATTATGCTATGCTATTACATGCTATGCTATGCTGCGCTGAGCTACGCTAAGCTAATCTATGCTATGCTATACTATGCTATGCTGCGATATGCTATGGTATGCTATGACATGTTATGGCATGATATGCTGTGCTATGCTGCGCTATGCTATGTTGCGCTATGCTATGCTATGTTATGATATGCTATGCTAATGCTGCGCTGCGCTAAGCTAAACTGAGCTAAGCTAAGCTAAGCTAAGTTTGGCTTGGCTAGGCTAGGCTAAGCTAAGCTAGGCTAGGCTAATCTAAGCTAAGCTAAGCAAAGCTAAGCTAAGCTAAGTTAAGCTAGGCTAAGCTAAGATGAGATAAGCAACGCTAAGCTAAGAGGACGGAACTGGGGGAACCGCGGGGCGGATGCCGGGGGAACCGCCCGGGGCGATTTGCACTGCCCAGCCCCTTTAAGCTAAGAGGGTAAGAACCCTTCTAGGCAGAGCCTAGGTAGGGAATAACAAATACCCCAAAAATACTCAAACGATAGTCCAAAAATAGTCTGGGGACTATGTTTTTATTATATTGTTGACCTTTTGGAGGTATTTGTGGGGTATTTTTTATTCTTCGTCGAAAATCCCCCTGTAGGGGGACACGCCTGACATAAGGATACATCGAGAATCTCTGGGATCTGGCGGCTCTGGAGGGTTTGCCGAGCGCCGCGGACTTCTAGAGGCCTCCCAGATGGGGTCCGAGAAGATGCGGTCGGAGGATCGTGCCGCATCGCCAAAGCATCGCCGATGCATCGCCAATGCATCGGCGATGTACTGGCGATGCACCAGAGTCGCCAGCGAGTCATCGGCGAAATCGGCGTGCTGTCAATAGGGCTTCGTATCGAGCCGCATCGCCGATGCATCGGCGATGCAGCGCGATCCCCATCTACTCCGACCCCATCTGGGAGGCCTAGACCTTCCCGGAGCGTTCTTGAAAGCTCTTAGAGCGTTTCGGAACGCTCTGGAACGGACTTATCCTCGTCCCAGCCCTGCCCGAATGGATGCCCATGGCCGACTCGTGCGGTGGATGGCGTTTCAGGAGTGACCCGAGCAACATTTGAATATATACCCCTGCCGACGCCGCACTTGTGCTCTCCCCTCCGCACACAGCGTTTCCACAATCATTTTGCAGAATCGCTTATCTTGGATACTGAAAAACATGACACCATACCCACCAGGCCCGAGAGCGTTCCGGAACGCTCTGGAACGGATTTATCCTCGTCCTTACAGGAAGGAGAAACGCACTAAACATAAACTTTTTAGATCCGCGCTGGACCCCCCTCCCTGGCGCGCGAAGCGCGCCAGGGGCGGCGCCGGAGGCGCCGCCGGGGGGGGCCCGGCGCGGATCCAGGAAATCCGCGCGGAGCGCCAACAAATTTATGTTTATGGCGTTTTGTCTTCTTCGAACCCTGCCCCCGTCCAATGCCCCCCGAGGGCCACGGGCGCCACGGAGCACAGCCGGTTGTGGTTCAGCCGGAGCTCTGTCAAGGCCGGGAGCCTGCCCTCCCACGGCCCGCCGCCGCCGCCGCCGCCGCCCCGCCGGCGGTGCCGAGAGAGGCAGGGCGAGGAGCACGACGGGGCCCGGGGAGGCACGACGAGCGCATATTTCTTACTCGCGGCCAGGACGGGCGTTATGGGGAGGCGGCAGGTCCTCCTCCTCCTCCCCCTCCTCCTCCTCCTCCTCCTCCTCCCCCTCCTCCTCCTCCTCCTCCTCCGCCTCCTCCTCCTCCTCCTCCTCCTCTTCCCCCTCCTCCTGCTTGGACAGCAGGGGGCATAACGTAGCGCCCTCTCTCCTTTTAGACTGTGCTGCCGGACGCACCTGCGGCAGGGCCGCGGGGACGCCCCGATGGGGGGGAGCGCGACGTTTTTATGGGGGAGGTGGGGGGGAGGGCAGGGGGCATAACGCGCGTTATGGCTCAGAGGGTAAACAACAAAAACCTCTCAGCATAGTCTGAGGTCGGGCATGCCCCCCTACAGGCGAATTTTGGGCGAAAACAAACAACTCAACAAATACTCAAAACTAGTCGAACATAGTGAACAATCGTCCTCAGAGTAGTGTTTGACTATTTTTGAATATTCGTCCTGTAGAGGGACAGGCCCGACTTAAACATAGTCGGCACACATTCCAGGACTTCCCATCTCTTCCCATGTTCCCTGGGTGATCCTCTTCCCGTCCATGTCTCTCCTATATTCACATGTACTTCCACGGACGTCAGCGTCCGTTTGTGTTTGCGCCTCTTCTTCCCTCCTGCGAGGACGGGGGGCGGAGCTACGAGGAGGAAAGAGAAAGAGGAGGAGCGAGACAAGGAGGGCGAGAAGGACGAGGTGTACGAGTTGGAGACGGAGGGGGAGGGGGAGGGGCGCCAGGAGGAGAGGGAAGAGGATGAGGAGGAGGAATGATTGGGAGGAGGAGGAGGAGGAGGAGGAGGGTGCGAGGAGAAAAAGGAGGACAATGATACGGTGTGGGTCGCATAGACGAGGAGCGAAAGGGTGGGGCAAAAGAGAGAAGGATAGTGAGGAGGGGACCAGGAGGAACAAAGAACAAAATCTTGACCTTCATACGCCTCCTCCGTGTTGGCGCTGACCATGCGACGCGCAGACGCGACTGAGCTCTGCGTCTCTCTTTGTTTCCGCCTTCCCCCGCCGCTCCAGGAGGGAGGAGCGGGGTCAGAGGAAGAGCGGAGAAGGACATGAGTGGCCGAAGTCGGCGGTGGAGCTTTCGGGAGGCGGAGGTGGCGGTGGGCAAGGACAAGAACGTGCAAATTGACGTCCACGATGCGCGCCGCACGCACGAGCAGCACACGAGCGGTAACTGACCGCACCTGCCGCACAGATCAGCAACAAAGACACACCGGGCGAGGCCAGACGGTCCAGGAGTACCGTACGCAGCAGAACGGGTCAAAGGTGCACGAGGAGCGAACGACAGGGAGGCGACAGAGGCCTCGCCGCATGGCAGCAGCAGCGAGCTAAGCGGGGGCAACGGCTCATCCAGAGCCGATTCCCCCCCGTCCCTTGGCTCCCTCTTCAAGCGGCTAGCGTGACGACAGAGCACAGGAAGGAGAGGGAGGAGGAGGAGGAGGAAGAGGAGGGAGGAGGAGGAGGAGGAGGAGGAGGAGGAGGAGAGGAGAGGAGGGGGAGGAGGGGGAGGAGGGGGAGGGAGAGGAGGAGGAGAGGAGGAGGAGGAGGAGGAGGGAGGAGGAGGAGGAGGGAGGAGGAGGGGAGGAGGGGGAGGAGGGGAGGAGGAGGAGGAGGAGGAGGAGGAGAGAGGGAGGGAGAGGAGGAGGAGGAGAAGGGAGGAGGAGGAGGAGGAGGAGGAGGAGGGAGGGAGGAGGAGCGGCCAAGTCCGAGCAGGGAGCGCTCCCAGCCAGTTGCATGCGTGAGAGTTCCCCAAAGGCCAAGGGCAGCGACGGCACGCCTGGCCCGCAGGCCGCACGAGCCCGACGCCCGTGGGCCGCGTCGCGACGGGCACCGCGCAGGGATCTAGTCGTGGCTGCTGGGCCTCGCCATCGCTCGGACGTCCATCCCTGTGTTTTGTTCGGTTTCGTGCGTGTTGTTGTTCGCCAAATGATCAAGGATGCTCCTCGATGGTCCTCGCCAAAGGACAAATGCACACGTCCGAGCGATGCCAAGGGGCGCGGCGCACAGAGGCCCAAGAGCGCTGGGAGGAATTTGGCGCTCCTCCGCTCGCTCCTCCGTGAGATGCCCTGCTCCGATGCCGGAGGCGCGCTCAAGCGTCGGCTCGAGAGAGCTTTGCGAGAGAATCCAGAACCAGGTTCGCGGACCCCTGGCCGGGCCGACTGCCTTGCTGTCACGCTGCGCAAACATACGAGCAGCAGCACAGCATCATCATCATCATCATCATCATCATCATCATCATCATCAGCAGCAGCAGCAGCAGCAGCATCATCAGCAGCATCATCATCAGCAGCATCAGCATCAGCATCATCAGCAGCAGCGTCATCAGCAGCAGCGTCATCAGCAACATGATCATCACCAACACCACAATCATCATCATCATCAGCATCATCACCATCAGCATAATCCGCCGGCCCCCTTGTGGGGCCACCAGGCTGTAGGCGCGTGATTCGCAGTTTTCTGCACCAGCTGTAGTTGCTAGTTTCCAGTGTTACAGTTCTGCTTCTTGCTGGTTACTGTAACTAGTTGACTTCTTGCTAGTTACTGTAACTAGTTGATTGACCGCGCGAGGGGGGGGGAGGCCCAAACAGGATTTTCCAGCGTCCCCTGGGCGCGTTGTCTGAATTGCTGGGGGGGCTCGAAATCGACACCCCTCACGCAGATCCGCGGGGTCAGGGTCCAAAAACACATGGGATTTGCCACATTTCTGAAATTCGGTGCCACCCCTCACGCAGATCCGCGGGGTCAGGGTCCAAAAACACAGGGATTTGCCACATTTCTGAAATTCGGTGCCACCCCTCACGCAGATCCGCGGGGTCAGGGTCCAAAAACACATGGGATTTGCCACATTTCTGAAATTCGGTGCCACCCCTCACGCAGATCCGCGGGGTCAGGGTCCAAAAACACATGGGATTTGCCACATTTCTGAAATTCGGTGCCACCCCTCACGCAGATCCGCGGGGTCAGGGTCCAAAAACACAAGGGATTTGCCACATTTCTGAAATTCGGTGCCACCCCTCACGCAGATCCGCGGGGTCAGGGTCCAAAAACACATGGGATTTGCCACATTTCTGAAATTCGGTGCCACCCCTCACGCAGATCCGCGGGGTCAGGGTCCAAAAACACAGGGGATTTGCCACATTTCTGAAATTCGGTGCCACCCCTCACGCAGATCCGCGGGGTCAGGGTCCAAAAACACAGGGGATTTGCCACATTTCTGAAATTCGGTGCCACCCTTCACGCACATCCATCGCAAGGCGTGGTAACCCAAACTGCGAGAACTCCCTCGGCCCTTTCATCGCAAGGTGTGGTAACCAAGCCCTTAAACCATACACGTCTTACCAATCGCCAGGTGTGGTAACCCCTCTTGTGATCAGTTGGTTTTGCTGATTGCGACTCGGCTTCGCATGAAGTTTCGATACTGCTTCACGACAGCGCCAAGGCCTCATGACTTAGCTCTTCCATGGCCCATTCTCCGAGAGAGGGGGCCGGCGGCAGGGGGCGGAGCCCATACGGATAACCATTCATCATTATTATCATTATTATCAGCGTCACCATCAACATCACTATCACCGAACACATCATCATCACCACCATCACCATCACCATCTTTACCATCAGCATCACCCATCGTCACCATCATAATGCGCATCAGCGTCAGCCTCAGCATACACATCAGTATCATAGTTTTCGCCGCCATCATCATACTCACCACCACCACCGTCATCATCGTCATCACCATGAGCACTACCATCATCACCATCATCATCATCATCAGCATCATCATCATCAGCATCATCATAATCACCACCACTACCACCACCACCACCACCATCATCATCATCATCATCATCATCAGCATCAGCATCATCATCACCATCACCATCACCATCACCATCACCATCATCATCATCATCATCAGCATCTGCATCTGCATCTGCATCTGCATCATCATCATCATCATCATCATCATCATCAGCATCAGCAGCAGCAGCAGCATCATCGATGCCGAAAACATTCTCAGGAAGCACCTCCCCCGCTCGGGGACGGTTGCAACGGTCTCGTCAGCAGCAGAAGATGCCGCTGAGAACCGTCTGGCCATATGAATGGGGAACGCCTGGGCTTCAGCAGAGGAAAGAGCAGGCCCCGTGGGAGCCGTCGGGGTTCTGAGGATTCCGAAGGCTTCCTCAAGATTCCCGCCCATTCCTGGGCAGGGCTGGACCTAACAATGTTTTTCGTGTTGTTGTTCTTGTCGTTTTCCCTCGATGTGTTTTGAAGGCGCCTTCGCTGCTACACGACATCGAAACGAAAACGGCCCACGAAATTGACAAACCACCGTTTAGGTCCACCCCTGGTCCTGGGGATCCGTGCGAGTCCCGAAGGACTCCCGAGGAGTCCTGCAGGCTTGCTGCCGACCCCTCAAGGATCTGTGAGGATTCCGGAGGGCTCCTCCAGATTTCCTCAAGGCTTTCTGCGTGCCCCTTCAGAACGCCTGGAAGATTTCCTCGAGTTCCTGGAGGAGCCCCAAAGATTCCTGCAGGATTCCTGAAAGGATTCCTGCAGTTTCCTGCAGCTTGCTGAAGGATCCCTCTGTGAATTGCGCTGAGTCCGCGCCTCGAGGACACGATCCCTGCAAATGGCACGGCGCCCGCGCTCCCAGGGCCCCGTGAACTAACAGTGCTTGGGCTCCCAGGGCCACGATCCCGCCCCCGCCCCCACCTACCCCACACCCCTGCGGGAGTGAATCACTTGATGATTTGGTGTGCTGAAGTATCGCGGGAGTCTATTTCGATGGAGCCTCCCCTTCAGAACTATAACTAGGCCTCCGCGGCTAACGATAACATCAGGGGTGCTTCAATGGGTTCTCACGATTGTGGTGATAGTGGCCGTCGCCCTCCTCCTCCTCATGGGAGCTGTCCACCTGCTGTCCCCCATTCGTTTCCCGTAGCTGACCATCCTCCTCTGCCTCCTCCTCCTCCTCCTCCTCCTCCTCCTCCTCCCATTCCTCGTACTCTTCCACCATGGTCACCTCGCGATTCGCCTTTTCCTCCTGCTCCTCCCCTCTTGTCCTGCATCCTCGTCTGTTTTCCGCCCGTTTCTTCTCGCCCCTCCCCAAGCCCCCCAGTCGCCGCTCCCAGTGAGATGTGGGAAAGCGTGTAGCCGATTGTGGGACAGCGACAGCTTCTTCAGGGACGAGAAACCACCTGTCGCTCAGTACCATCTTTTCCACGCCGCGGTGCTTTCCGGGTCCTCCCCGCTGTTCCTCCTTTCGGGAGCGGCCAAGAGGGGGGTGCCCAAGAGGGGGGGGTGCAAATCATGACCATCGGCATGTGCGCGGCCAAGCGGGGGGGCCAGGGACGTAATGAAATAAGAAGAGGCGCCATGAGATCTGGGGAAATATCATGGCCCCCGCCATGATATCCACCCCCCCTAGTCATCACCCCCCTCTTTGCCGCCCCCGATCCTTCTCCCGCGACCTTCTTTCTAACAGTGTGTTTCCACTTAGTTCCCTATCTCCCTCCCCCTCCTGCATCCCCCCCGCCTTCTTCCCATCACCATCGCCGACGCCAACACCACCCCCGCCGCCACCGCCCTCCTGCTTATTCTGCTAACCCTCCCGTTGCTTTTCCCACTTCTCCACCTCATCCTCCCTTGTTGTTTCGCACCGTTCGTCGAACGACACCCTCACCCTCCAGTCCGAGCTCCCTCGAGACAGCGGCAAAGACACGCAAAGCGATGACAGCGAACTAATTGTCGAACTACTTGCCAGATAGTCGCTTGATCCAGAGAAACGAACGTTGTCATTACTCGAGTCTCCTAGCTCAGGGTGTGCTTTCACCAAGATCTTGTTGACGGATGGATCCTTCCCGAAGTCGTGCGGCATTGCTAGCTCGTTCCGTTGATATATGCAAGGGTCGGTTATGATACGCGCGCGCCAAATAAGAGGCGTGCGTGATTTCTTGCTCGGGCGCGACTCTCGCCCCACCTCAACCAAACATGCGGAAACGCGCGCGCGCCTGCCCATGCAGAGGACAGGCAGCAGCATCGACAATGACGACTGCCCCCGCGGCGGACTCCTGAGCCACCGGGCTTGCGCGTGCCAGCCTGCAGTGCATCCTGTCAGGGCGCTCCGGCCCAAAACTAATCTCACAGCGTACGTACCCCTTAGCACTTGCCCTTGCTGCAGAGGCTGAGGCTCCGCTGCTCGAAGAGGCCTTGATGTGATTCTCTTGTGGCTTCTCCCGCGGCAACTGACACGTCGATGCCAGAGGCCTCGATCACCTCGGTGTCAACGTAAGGATTCTGTAACAAGTCTGCTGTGTATGCCTTGACTGTCGGCTGAGAACAGGCATGGGCTCCCTCGCCAGACGAGTCTGGTCGCCCTTCCAACTGAGATGGCTCTCTTTCAAATCGAATGTTCCTCCCCGCCCCAGGTCGGGGGGGCCGCTGGGCGCTTTCTCCTGGCGTCTCCCTGGTAATTACGACGTTAAAGGTAAGGGTAAGCCTGTGATTTTCTCTGGCGTTCACATGCTGTATCCCTCGGGGCGGGGGAACACGCATTGAGATTTGTACACTGTCTTATCTATTAAAAAGATATGTTCATGGCACTGGTCGCCAACATCATGCTACAGTGTCGTGGCGTGTTTCAACTGGTATTGTTTTTTAATGTCATTACCATCGTGCCGATATTCCGTCGCCATTTCGGTGGATAACCAGAACAGCAAGCGAGCATTGTCCCTATTCGGACATCCGAGCTAAGGGGGTCCTTCTCCAGGATCTTCTTGACAGACGGATCCTTCACGAAGCCATGCGACGTTGCCATATATAGTTAGGTTCATTAAATGCCAGGGTAGGTGATGATACGCGCGCGCGCCAAAAGAGACGCGTGTGTACCTTTTGCCAGAACGCGATTCGTGTCCCACTCCTCACGTATGATACTCGAGCCGAATACGCAGAAACGCGCGCGCGCGCCAACTCATGCGAAACACAGGCAGAATGGACGACAATTAAGACCCAACGGGGAACCCACTGCGACCCAGCGCTGGCTTAACCAGCTCCTCTTCTCGCTTCACCTCTCTGTCCCGCTCATGCTGCCGCTGATGATGATCCTCGCTTTCATCCCCTTGCATCCTCCGTCTCCGCCTCCTCCCCCATTTCTCTCCTCCTCGCCTCCCCTCTCCCTCGTCATCCTCGTCCTTCTTCTCCTCGTCGTCCTCCTCCTCCTCTTCCTCCTCCTCCTCCCTCACCATTTCAACTCTCGCTGCTCCCATATCCACCGTCGCCGTTCGCAACCCACCCGTAGAATCCAGCTCGGCATTCATACAGTAGGCTGCCATTCGTAAGACAAGGGCGGATGACGGCCAAAGAGCACGAAATGTGTAAAGGCTGCGCACGAAAGCGGAACAACAGGTGGAGACGAGAGAGAAAGAGAGAAAGCTATATAGATGCATGTTAGAGCCAGCGTGGACCAAACAGTTCGTTATTGCACTGTGGAGGTGTGAGCTGGTCAGTGTAAGCTATTCGCTTATAGCTATGTGATGCAAGCTATGTGCTTTAATCGATGTGATGTAAGATACGAGGTGTAAGATGCCCGGTGTGAGCTATGCACTGCAAGCTATGCGGTGCTAGGTTAGCTGTTGACGCCTTTGTTACGAAACCTATGTGGTGTAACCAATGTTGTGTAAGCTATGCGGTGTAAGCCATACGGTGAAAGTAATGCGGTGTAAGCACATTCTCTCCCCATCATCCCGCATCTCACCCACTCCTCTTGCCCTCCCATCGCAGCGCATCCCCCACCCAATCTGCATTCCGCGATCTGGTTGTTGGACAGAATCAGCGTCTCTAGCAAGCTGTTCTTCTTGGGAGAGATCCCCTCGACCCTCTTGATTCGGTTACCTCCGCTGGGATCCTCATCACCCCCGTCCTCCTGTACTTATTTCTCTTCCTCCCCCAACTCACTCCTCTTCTGGCGTCTCCTTTCCCTCGTCAGATTCATGTATCCTGCTCGCCTGACGACAGAGCCAAGACACCGCTCCAACGAAATGACTTGGATTCCGCCAAGTGGGATCTGTGACGACGCGCCACGTTCTGGCTAACCGCGGTGGCGGCCTTGCTGCGGCCCTGGCCAGTTCACTATGCATAAGACTTCATTAGAAGAAGAAAAAAAAACATAGATATAAACTTATGGCGCTCCGCGCGGATTGCTTGCATTCACGCTGGACCCCCCCTCCCTGGCGCGCGAATCGCGCCAGGGGCGGCGCCGGAGGCGCCGCCGGGGACCGGACACGGATCCAAGAAATCCGCGCGGAGCGCCAAAAGTTTATGTTTATGTGTTTTTGTTCGTCGATTCACTGGGAGGCCTCGAGGCAAGGGCGGAGGAAGAGGGGGGAGGGAGAGGACGACGACGAGAGCAAGAGGGAAGAGGAAGAGAGCGGGAAGGCCGTCCCCTTTCTGGCTCTTCGACTCTAGAGCCTCTCCGCGACGGGGCAAGCGCTCTCTGCTTCAGAAGATCCTTATAGAACAGCGGAGGTGTCTGGCAGCTTCGCCGCACAGCATGCAGAATCTGATCAGGGGTCCACTGCCTGCGCCTCCTCCTCCGCCTCCTCCCCAATGCCCAATCCTTCTCTGCCATCACTCTCATACCCCACGCGCCTTGTCATCTTACTCCACCTTCCTCCTCCGCCTCCTCCTCTTCCTCCTCCTCCTCCCCTTCCCACCCTGGCGCCATTACTCCTCACCTCCTCCGCATCCCCGTCTGATCCCGTCCCCTTCCATTCCCAAGCGTGTGGGGTGGGGGGCGAACTCCCTGGACCTCTGCCAGGGTGCGATCTAACTAGGATTCCGATGCGAATTCGCCCTTGGCGGCGAGGGCTCTCTGGGAGACCCACACCGGCGAGAACGGAGAAGGGTAGTGACTTTTGGTAATTTGTCCTCCTCCGACTGCTCCCCCTCTCAATAGTCACCCAACTTCGCGCTTCAGACCGTACGACATGCGAGGCGCGATCTACCTTCCCGCCATCGTGCGTCTCCCCAGGGGGGAGGGGTAGCTTCTCAGCTTTGGCCGCGGCGCGGAAAGCGCGAATAGATTCGAGACCCTGCTGGTGATCTAGCTCCCCCGATCGTCCGGAGGCGCACAGACTTACAATAACACGCTCCCAAGAGCCCTCCCCCTTCCATCTTGGCACGAATGGGTCCTGAGGAAAACAAATCTGGGATACCAGCCTTGCCCCAGGCATCCTGAACATCGGTGAACAGGAAAGCATGTTCGCCAAAAAACCTCAAGACTGTTTTCTCAGGACCCCCCTTAACGATGGGGACCTAGGGCGACGAAATTGGTACATTCCCACTGCTACCTGGCCTGGCCCATCCTGAACCCACCAGCGGTGCATGCGCCACGCCCTCATAGCTTGGCCAGGAGGGCGTATACTCAGCTTCTGGGCCCAGGAGGGGCCCGATAAAGGGGGCAGGAGCTATGTATAGATCTCGTCGCCTGAAGATCTCACTCCGCGCCTCATCTTGCCATCGCATGGAAGTCCATTCCCCGGGCATTGTTTGATTTCATGCGTTCCTGTGTCCGAAGATGATCCAGGAAGCTCCTCGATGGTCCTCGCGAAGAAAAAATGCACACGCCCCAGCGCCGCCTCGCGCGCAGGGAGGAGTAGGGAGAGGCGGGGAGGAGAGACGTAGAAGAGGAGTGCGCAGAGGAGAGGACAGGAGAGGAGGAGAAGGAGGAGGAGTGAGGAGACGAGGAGGAGGAAGGAGGGGGAGAAGGAGGAGACCCGGAAGGAGCGAGGGAAGCAGGGAGGAGGAGATGGGAAGAGATGAAAGGAGGACAAGGAGGAGTGGGCATTTATCCGGCGGAGCGGCGCGCGGCGATGAAGGCCTTGAGGCCAGCGAGCTGCTCGAGGCCCTCGCGGGAGCGTGTGTCTCCCTCCTCCTCCTCCTTCTCCTCCTCCTCCTCCTCCTCCTCCTCCTTCTCGTCCTCCTCCTCCTCCTCCTCTCTCCTCTCTGCTCTCTCGTCCCTCTTTCCTCCTCCTCCTCCTCCTCTGTCCGCTACCTTTCCTCCTCCCTCCCTCTCCTGTCCTCCTCCCGGCTCCCCGTTTCTTCCCCCCTGCTCCTCCACCAACTCGTCCTGGGCCATGCCATCAGAAGCAACAGAACCTCAGGGGCCGAATAGTGGGAGGTGCCGTGCGCTGCCAACCAATGCAACTTCAGGTACCTTCGTTTGCGAACGCGCTAGCCAACGTGCCGCCTCACGCTTCACAGAAAGCCCGGGTCAGGTTAAACTTACACGGCGAAGGCGTCTGGCGTTATACCTGCCATCAGGGTTGTGTCCTAATCAGCAATTCCCACAGCAATATCCCCCTCCCTCTTCCCTTCTTCAAATCTCCCAGGTGGATTATGCTTGGGAGTACGTGTGCAACATGCCACTGCAGTCTGCGGAGATCGCAAAGACACGATTGAATCCGCCACCGTGCCGCTGGGCACGGAGTGGGCGTCCTCAGGTCCATTGTCTCATCCCCTGTTGAGCAGGGACCGACCGTCCCAGCATTTCTATAGGCCTACCACGACAAGTTCTTAGGACCCAGAAATGTTCTAATAACAACCATGTTCTTAGAACATAAGTCCGATGGGTTAAACAAGACGGTCCCAGCCAGAAATGTTCTAAGAACATTTCGTGGAAACCATACGACGTTCTTAGAACATTGTTTGGTAGGCCTATAGGCACGCCAGGACGCCTCGCCACTGCTTGACACAATCATCGATCCTGAGGTGTCTCACGGGGCCCGGACCCCGAAGCCACACATCTCCCTAGGCTTGCCGCGTCCCCCCTGGGCCTTGGATCGCTCTCTCGCGTGCCTTGGTCGGGCCTTAGAGGGCCCTAAGAGGGGTCGAGAGGGCCTTCAGAGGCCCTCAAGACGGTCCAATAGGGGCTGGAGTCGCCGAACGATCGATCCAAGACGCCCAAGATGGCCCCAAGACGGCCTAAGAGGCTCCCAAGACGGCCGACGAGACCTCCAAGAGGCCTCCCAAGAGCGTCACAAAAAGTCAAACTCATATCTGTTCCAAAGGTGATTGACTGTTGCTGGTCTTCTCGCCTACTCGGCTTTCCGACGCTCCAAGACGGCCAAAGACGCCCCGAAGATCACTCTAAGACAGCCTGAGAGACTCCCAAGACGGCCCCAAGAGGGCCCCAACACGGTCCAAAAGGCGCCCAAGGCGGCCCAAGAGGGCCCCAAGACGGTCCCAATGAGGGACCCAAATGGGGTACCCGAACAAACATTTCAAGCCAGGGGCCCCGAGGGGCCCCCAGGAAGCCCCAAGAGGTCCCAAGAGGCCCCCAAGATGCCCCATGATGCCCCCAAGAGGCTCCAAGAGGCCCCGAAGATGCTACCAAGAGGTCTCAAAACTGCCACCAAGAGGCCCCCGAGAGCGCTCCGAAGAGACGCCAAGAAGCATCCCAGCGACCTCTGACGCGCAACACAGGCACGGTGGCGGGATGGGCCGAAGGCCATTCGATACTTGGGAAAAACAGCGACAAATTTTACAGTGGGACAGGATCATAGGGATGCGGGTTAAGGATGCACGGCCCTTGGACACCCAAGTTCAAGTTGCTTGAGCCAGAATGACCAGCGATATACAATAGGCCGAACGTGCAAGAATGACAAGAGCCCCCCGTGGAAATCTGCTCAATCTTACGGTCCTTTTTGACCGTATGCCGCTTCGTGATTCGACTCATGTCGCGGGGAACCGATCTTTTCGGGAGCCCGACAAGCTGCGGTGACGGACCGTGCGGTGACCTCGAAATCCTAAAAGACCACACCACACGGTCCGTCACCCCACGCTTTTGGGACCTCGGATGCCCTAGTCCCTAGTCGCCCGAGACGTCCTCGGACAACGACCAGAGTCCCAAAACCGTGCGGTGGCCCCGAATCCCCAGCTACTCAACACACTGGTCCTCCTCCGAAAGCTTGGTTTTCGGGCCACAACTCTAGGTCGGGCATGTCCCCCTACAGACGGATTTGTGGCGAAAAATGTTAAACAAAAAAGAAATCTCACCAAACCTGCTCAAACATTAACGAAAAATAAGCTGACAGGGACAAGCCCGCCTTAACCACAACTCGGGTCTCCAACGGCCGTCTGGGGCGGTCCAGCCACCTCCGGAGCGCTCTCGGCGAGGCGCACAGCCTTCAGGAACCGACGAAAACGTCAGAGCATCCGGAGCCCCCACCGACTCACCGCACGGTGTGGTCGCCGCACCTGGCTACCTACCAGACAACCCCAAACCAACCCGAAAACCAAGATTTCGCCCGAACTTCGGATTGGGGGGGGGTACGAGATCATATGTGTGTGTTTTCAGTGTTCCCCGACCACCCCCCACCGGAAATGGAAGGCAAATCGGGGCCATCGGGTTTTGAGCAGGGACCGACCGTCTCGGCATTCCTATAGTCCTAAGACGAAATGTTCTTAGAACCCAGAACTGTTCTAATAACAAAAGCAGTGTTCTCAGAACGTAAGCCCGATGTGTTTAAACAAGACAGGTTCTGCCAGAAATGTTCTAAGAGCATCCCGCGCAGAACACAAGAGGTTCTTAGAACATTGTTTGGTAGGCCGATAGGCACGCCAAGACGCTTGGCCACTGCGCACGGTGTGGTCGCCGCACCGCTTGGGGGCCAATCGAGGATCTTCTGAAACGGGTCAATCCAGACCCGGGTCAGTCAGGCCCTGCAGAATCCTGCAAGATCCTGCACCCAAACCCGGGTCAATGCGAAGGATCCTGCAAGATCCTGCAGGATCCTGCGCCCAAACCTGGGTCAATGCGACCCTGTCCCTGCAGGATCCTGCACGATCCGGCGCGCTGGCTGACCCCCCTTTGCACTGACCCCCGCTTCCAGGCTCCCGAGCCAACCGGGTCTGCCCCGCACGGCCACGGTCGCGGAGGCGGCCGTCGCCTCGATGCGGGCGATGCGGTTGTCGCTGAGGTCGAGCACGGCGAGCGCGGAGAGGTTCTGGAGGCCTGCGCGCCGCGCGCGGGCGGCGCTGGAGCTGGAGGCTCGTCCACGAGAGAGAGAGAGAGAAGCCGTGCACATCGGAGGTGCACTGGTAAAAAGGTGAAACAATGAGGAGCCGTGCGAAACGCGAGGACATTCCATCAGCAAGGCAAGTCGAACAAAGCCCGTCAGGCTTTCACACTTACACCCCTAAAACACAAATGATAAAAAATACAAACAAGAACAGACTAGGGAATCGAACTCTATACACCGACGCTTTTTCTGGCCCTGCATTGCAATTTGCACTGGAGAACGGATCCTGGTGTATACGGGACCCTGGTGTGTACATGTTTCGTGGTTTCCCTGGGACATCGAGGAAAAAAGTATCGGAGGTGAGGGGGTGAGATCGAACTGGAACGGAGACCCCCCTACAGGAAAATCGGTTTCGGTTTCGTGTTCGTGCGTGCCGTGCGTGCGGGCGAGGCGAAACTGCGAGGGCGGGCGAGAAGAAAGTCTCCTCCGGCTGAGGCGCGGCCGGAACAAATGATTCCTCTCCAGGGGCCGGTGCCGCGCGGTGTCCCGCCGGTGTCCCGCCTCCGGCTGAGGCGCGGCCGGACCAAATGATTCCTCTCTGGGGGCCAGTGCCGCGCGGTGTCTCGCAGGTGTCCCGCCGGTGTCCCGTCGGTGTCCCGATGATGATGATGATGATGATGATGATGATGGTGATGATGATGATGATAATGATGATGATGATGATGATAATGATGATGATGATGATGATGTCGATGATGTTGATGATGATGATGGTGATGGTAATGGTGGTGATGATGATGATGTCCCGATAATGATGAGGTTGATGATGCTGAAGATGTTGATGATGATGATGGTGATGTTGGTAATGATAATGGTGTCCCGATGAGGATGGTGTTGATGATGATGTTGCTGATGATGACGATGGTCTCCCGATGATGATGATAATGTTGCTGATCCTGATGATGATAATGATGATGTAAGGATAATGCGATGATGATGATTATGATGATGGTGTCCAGATGATGATGATGATGATGATGATGATGATGAGGTTGATGCTGATGCTGTTGATGATGATGGTGACGATGATAATGTCCCGATGATGATGTTGATGATGACGATGATGGTATCCCGGTAATGATGATATTGATGATGAGGATGAGGATGAGGCGATGATGATGTTGATGATGGTGGCCCGATGATGGTGATGATGATGTTGATGTTGATGATGATGGTGGCCCGATGAGAATGATGATGATGGTGATGATGTTGGTGACATTGATGATGTCCCGATGATGATGATGATGATGATGGTGATGATGATGAGGTTGATGATGTTGTTGCTGATGATGATGTCCCGATGATGATGATGAAGATGGTGATGATGATGTTGACGATGATGGTGTCCCGATGATGATGGTGATGATGGTGATGATGATGCTGTTGATGATGATGGTGATGAGGAAGATGGTGTCCCGATGATGATGATGATGATGATGATGATGATGATGATGATGATGATGATGATGATGTTGATGACGTTGGTGAAGATGATGTTGATGATATTGACAGTGATTGTGATATCGATTTTGATATCGATAGTGACATCGATAGTGAAATCGAATGTGAGATCGATTGTGAGATCGATCGTGAGATCGATAGTGATATTGATTGTGAGATCGTTAGTCAGATCGATTGTGCGATCGATCGAATGAACTAGATCGAGTGAGATCGATTGTGAGATCGATCGGGTGAGATCGATCGAGCGAGACCGATAGTGAGATCGATAGGGAGATCGATAGGGAAATCGATCGAGTGAGACGTTAGTTCCTCCCCCCCCCGAACCTCCGTAACACCCGAAGGATGGTCGTATAGGTACACCACACCGTCCCAGCGTCGTCCCCGACCCTCAAAAAGTCCTGGGATTGAAAAGCAGCCCGCCACTGCTAATGTATGTTCTAATTTCCGATAGAAAACAACACAAAATGACTCGGAGCGGAGCGGTATAGATCGGCGGCGATGGGGGCGGGCCTTCTCAGAACGCTCGGAGGGTCTCCGGCCTCTGGAGGAGTGTCCTGCACCGTCCCCGGGGAAGCAGGCTTCTCAAAGACCGGAAGGGCTTCTGATCAGCACCGCCGCTCCTCGATCCTCCTCCTCCTCCTCCTCCTCCTCCTCCGTTTCCTCCGCCTCCTCCTCCTCCTCCTCCTCCTGCTCCGCCTTCTGAGAATCGGCAGTGGACACACCTCCCTTTAGTGAACCTCCCTTCAATGAAATTATGACCCCCTTGCAATTTATTCAAAAATCGCGCTTTCGACGCTTAGGAAACACGCTACGCCAAGGACGCCGCTCTAATGTACTCAGAAATCGCGCTCTCGCCATACTCAGGTATCCCGCTTGAATGTCCCACCCGCCCGACCCGCCCGTCAGGGGATCGCCCCCCGTCGCGGGCTCCCACCCGGGACTTCCTTCAGGAACGGCACTTTCGCCTGGAATTTTCTCGAGCGTTCACGCTCTTACCTTCCTGTTCCTCCTCCCTCTCCCTCCTTCCTCCTCTCCTCCCTTCTCTCTCCCTCCTCTCGTCCCTCATCATTATGCCTCCCTGCCCTATCCCCTATCCCTCCTCTCCCTCCCCCCTTTTCCCTCCCCTCTCCTGCCTCTCCCCTCCCTCTTTCTTCATTTATCTCTCTCTCTCTCTCTCTCTCCCTTTTTTTTTTTCTCTCTCTCTCTCTCTTTCTCTACCTCTTTTATCTGGTTGTTGTTTACTTCTTGTTTGGTGTCTCTCTCTCTCTCTCTTTTTTGTTTCTCTCTCTCTCTCTCTCTGCCTCTAATCAACCGCCCCCCTCTTCGCTTCTTCTCTCCTGGCGTTTTCCCTCTTCCGTCGCCCCTCCCCCTCCCTTCTTCCCGCTCTCTCTCGTTCCCCCTCTTTTTGCAGGGCCCGCGCCAGCTCCAATGGCGGGCGCATGTGCGCCCACGAAGGATTGTTCGCCCGTCCAGGTTTCCCCGCCCGTCTGAGCCCGCCACCCCCCGCAAAGAGAAATAATCCCCCCGAGGGGGGTGTGATCGAAGACAAGAAAGGGCGGGCATCGAGGTCGTGGGGAACTCGTTTTGAACGACACGCGAGCAAGTCAGACCGAACGGTCTTAGAATGACTGGTGTTGTGTCGTTGAACTCTCATTCCTGATATATATATATATATATACACATATACACATATATACACATATATATATATATATATGTATATATATGTATGAGAGAGCGTGATCCACCGCCGCTTTACTGTGGAAAATTGCCAACCTTTTCCTCCGGAACCTGGGGTCTTCCCCCCCCCCCCCTCCGAAAATCCCCCCCCCCGCCAACCCCTCCCCCCCCCCCCCCCCCCCCCCCCCCCCTCCCCCCAAAACCCCCCCCCCCCCCCCCCCCCCGCTCGAAAACCGGGGGGGGGTCACTACCGGTTCGAACCCCTCCCCCCCCCCCCCTCCGGATCCAGAAAACCGGGGGGGTCACTACCGGTTCGAACCCCCCCCCCCCCCCCTACTCACCGCCAGCAAACGACTCCCGGTCCCCACCACCGTCCGCATCACATCCCCCACTGGTGTTCCCAGCACCACTGTCCTCACCACCGCTGTCCCCACTGGTTCCACCACCGCCCCTACTGTCCCCACCAGTGGCCCCACCACTGTCGCACTGTCCCCGCTGTCCCCAGAACTGTTCCCACCACGGTTCCACTCTCCCCACTGTCTCCACGGCCCCAACCACTGCCCGACTATCCCCACTGTCCCCACTGTCCCACTGACTCCTCCGCTGTCCCACTGAGCTGTCCCACTGTTCCCACCACTGTCCCCACTGTCCCCACCACTGTCCCCACTGTACCTCTGTCCCATTGTCCCACCGCCGTCCTCGCCACCGCCTTCACCACTGTCCCCACCACCATTGTACCCTCCACTGTCCCACTGTTTCCACCTCATTCCCATTGTCCCCACACCACTGTCCCCACCACCACCGTCACCACCACTGTCCACTGTCCCCCCCTGTTCCCACCATTGTCCCCACCACTGTCCCCACCACTACCGTCCCCACCACTGTCCCACTGTCCCACTGTCCCCACCACTGTCCCGCTATCCCCTCACCACTGTCCCCACCAACACCGTCCCCACCACTGTCCGCACCCCCACTCGGTTTTCGAGGGGGGGGGGGGTTCGAACCGGTAGTGACCCCCCCCGGTTTTCCGGATCCGGAGGGGGGGGGGGGGGGGGGGTTCGAACCGGTAGTGACCCCCCCCCTTTTCATGATGAACTGGGGGGGGAGGAGGGGTTCGAACCGGTAGTGACCCCGCCCGGTTTTCCGGAGGGGGGGGGGGGGGAGGGGAGGGGTTCGAACCGGTAGTGACCCCCCCCGGTTTTCCGCCAGCAGCGGTAGAACACGCTCTTTCATATGTATCGTTCGCCCCCCCGTCCGGCGCACATTGGTTTTTCGATTGAAGTGCCCTTCCCGGGGCTCGCACCCTGTTTTTAATCAGGGAAAATCTTGAGGGTCAAACTGTGTCGTTGGCCCCCGGGTCACAACAACAACGGCTCCCGCCTGAGACTTCCTCACACTTTAACCAGGACCCCCGCTCCCGCCCGAGACCTCCTTGCATTTTAATCAGGAGTCGCGCTCTCGCTGGGGACTTCCTTAACATTTATTCAGGAATCGTTTTCCTCGCGCTCTGGAATCGCGTTTTCGCTGGAGACGCGCTTGCAATTTACTCAAGAATAGCGTCTTTGCGCTGGAAGCGATTCCCATTTATTCAAGCGCCGGCGCTCCCGACACCCAGGCACCCAGGAGTCGCGCTCACGTTTAGGACTCCCTCACAGATTACCAAAAAATCGGGATCTCGCTGCCCTTCGCGGCCCCGTTGCAGCCCTTCGTGGCCCCCTCGCTTTGTTTCGTGGCCCCGTTGCAGCCCTTCGTGGCCCCCTCGCTACCCTTCGCGGCCCCGTCGCAGCCCCTC